AATGACTTTGAGAGAAGTCAGAGGGTGGTATATTACGGAAAATAAAAGATATAATAAAGTGAATTAGTGGTATCAAGATAAATGTGTGTATAAATTGTAATGATATATGATTGAATTATATATGATGAGTGTGTTCAATGATTGTATGTTATGATTAACTTACTCTTATTTGTTTGTGTTATGATCGTATAACTTTGTTTTACGTGAGCAAATGATGTTATAAATGCAATTGGAAATCAATAAAGATGAGAGGTATGCTCAGAAAACTTTTAGGGGCTTTTTGCTAAAAATAAATTTTTATCGAAAAACTATTTTGTTTAAGACTGTAAGTTTAAATCTGAATTTTATGCTAAGTTGTGAAGACTATGTTGTTTAAGATTTGTAAATTTGAACCGTACTTTTCTTGAATCAAAATAAAGTTTTGATTATTGATATCAGATATCATTCAAATTTTGTTTTACTACTTGTAATATCCTAAAAATATTTGAGGTGTTAAACACGAGCCGTATTCCTAACCTAATATTAAGCACTCTCTCAAACAAATAGTTTTGACACGAACCTTTACAAACAACTTCTCTCACATCATCATCACAACTTTGCTTTAAGAGTCCATGAGTTTTTCTTCATTAAAACTTGCCCTATCCTCAAATAATTGACATCACAACAATCGCTCTTATTTTCAGAGTTCATTCCTCGTAATTGTTCTTGGCATAACTCTCGACATTAAGGAGGAGGTCGAAGGCTTTGTTGTGGCCTTCCTACATATAGTTGGTGTCATGTACTTAGGCATTAGCACAGAATCCATTGATAGTGACAAATACGCATGTCTTATTGAGAGAGCATCTTTAGATTGTGTGTAAGTCAACATAGTTTAATAAAGTGTTGAATTGTAGTGTGAAGGATTTTCATAAATAATAGTTTATTATATTGCACCAATAGCAAAATTTTTGGACACATGTGGCATCCTTTGACTTTTCACATGAATAAAAGTTTGGCATATTGGTATGATAACCTTTTATCCTAAAGCTCCAATAATGAATGCAAATACAAATCTATTTTTCTTAGGATCAGAAATTGAACTTGCAACCCTTATTAAGATCAGTGATGTAAAAGCAAAAAAAGAAAAAATAATTTAAAATGATTGTTTACAAATATTCAATAGAATATTAAAATTTTGATTACAAATATTCATGATAACACGAGTGAGATGATTATTAAAAGTATGAACTATCTTTATAATATAAAATGTGAATATAAGATAAATTCTCACCTAGGTTTCACTGTAGATGTCAAATATTCTTATAGAAATCGAAAAAAGTTTACTTATAAGGACTCTAAGGCTTAAAATAGTAAAAAATATTTTGTAAGTATAAGAATAAAAATAAATATTAAGTTAAATTAATAGGGCATTTATAAATTTTAGTAAATTCACTGGTATAACATGAAATAAAATAAATTTAATATATAATAACTGAATTTGATTTATTATAACCTATATCCTTATTATATTATCATAAAGATTATCTTTTCCTAATATTAAGGATTTCACACTTAATTTTATTTTCATTGTACTATTTTAAACCTAACCATAATTATATATTTTAAGAAAATATATACAATTATTATTATATAATCTTTTAGATTAACATTTATTTTTTTAAGCAACACTTTGTATCCAAAATCATGGAAAAAGTTAGAAAGAAAAAGAATATAATAAAATCCATGATTTTTTAACTTTTTTTTTCACGATTCTTCTTTCCTAACAAAATGAAATATTAAAAATGAGTTATTGATATTCCCTTTTCTATTATTTCATTTCTATTCTATTATTTCATTTGTAATTAACAAATAGGATAAATAAATTTTTTATCTTTGTCAATTTCTCAACGGTTATATATATATATTAATTAGTGAAAAGATATTTCTCTTAAAATAATAAAAAGTAAAAAAAATAAAATTTTAGTAATTATTAAAAAACATATTATAAAATTTATATATATTAAAAAAATATAAAATAAACATTTTAAAAATTTTATTTCAAAAAATATTAGGGATAATTAATTGAATTAAAAAGTAATTATAAATTAAATATCTTTAAGAATGATATCATAGATAAGTTTTTTTATTAGAGATTGTATTAAATTCAAAAACTAGTTGTAGAGTTTGAAAGATTAAATAATTAATAAAGTAGTTTATATCAATAAATTCATAATAAAATGTGTACATGTTATTAACTGTATATTTAGCATTTGAGATACTGTATATGTTACGAAGAATTCTTTCTTTGTATATGACTTTAGATAATAAAAATATATAGTAATATTAACACATTAGATATTTTAATATACTAATATATTAAAAAAATTATATGACACCTGAAAAAAATGAAAATTAATTATTATTTCTTGTCCTTTCTTTTAATTACAATGTTTTTGTCCCAAAATATATGAAGACAAATATGCAGAAAAGCAGATAATATAGGAAGTCTAGAAGAACAGAGGGCTGAGAAAATAAGAGTGCAAAATTTAGGCTATGTTTGTTTGAGCTTATTACACTATGCATGTTGATTGAGGAAAAGGAATTTAAGAGTGATTTTATGTTTGTATGAAGTGAAAAGCACGGAAAGATTTGCAAGATTATTATCTACTTTTATATCTATATATTAAAAAAGATTTGAAAGAATTTAAACCTTTTTACTATATTATCATATATTATCATGCACTTTTTAAATAATTTATTGACAATTTTTTTTCTTTGTTTAATAAAATAATAATAATATTAATAGTAATAAATAAAGAATAAAATATATTTTTTAAAATTAAGTCATAAATAAAATTATATTTTAAAAAAATTATTTTATTTTATTAAATTACAATTCTTTTACATTTTTTAAATTATAACATTAATATCTGAGACATTGCTTTCTAAAATATAATTTTAATAATTTTATATTTTAAAATATAATTTTAATAATTATTTTTATTTTTTTTCTTTTTATAAATATTTTTATATTTAATATAACATTAATAATAATTATTTTATATTATGGAATTTGATAATCTTTAATTTATATGTTAGTTAAAGAACTTTTTATCTGTTATATAGATTTGATAATAAATCCTAACTAATTTATACAAATTTTACTTTTAAATATAGTTGTCCGTACACTATTTTACACAAATTTTGCTTGTGAATCTTACCTCAAAATTCAGTACCAAAAAAATTAATTCACACTCAAAAATGAGTCACGGGCAAATGGACCTGAGTCACCGACAAATGGACCGCGACGACGAGGATGACTATTACATGGAAGACGAGCAGGTCGCGGACTTCGACGAGGAGGATGACGGCCGGGGAAGCGGTGGAGGCAGCAGGAAGCGCAGAAGATCTGGTTTCATTGATGAGGAGGTAGACGAGGATGATGAGGAGGTGGATGATGAGGAGGAGGATGACGAGGATTTTGATGCCCGAGGCGGTCACAGGCGGCAGTACAAGAAGGTTTCCGCTTCTAAATTTTTTGACGAGGAGGCCGTGGTGGATAGCGATGAGGAAGAGGGCGAAGACGGTGTGTGTTTTTTTTCTTTTTCCCCTGCAAACTTTTGTTTGTAATTTGGATGATTGGATATGAACTCGGGATGTACAAAATTAGGGTTGGAACTTTGGATTTATGGTTTCTTTATATGATTGTTTGTTGATTTTAAACTTGATTAGGCATATGTTATTCAATCCCTTCGATGGATAGTATGGATTGTCTGCTATTCAAAACAATGTTTTAAATCATATTTGACTGAGGACCAGGGAAAACTGGATATGGAAGGAGCTATTACAATAAATTGTGTTTAATTGAATGTACGGTGAATGGAAGGTTACTTTTGTTGAGGTGATTTTTTAATTGTTATGAGTATGAAATAATGTATTCTTGTAGTGGGTTTTTCCCCGGAGGAATTAGAAGATTAAGACTATTTTTTCACTTGAAGAAACTGAGAATCAATTTTGTTATTCATGGTTTTCCTTGTGATAGAACATCAAATTTGAACTGAAAACATTTACTGAAAGAAGATGAAATTATGTACTGCAGTGATGGTTTTCTGTGTGCATGTATTATTTTATATCCTAAACATAACAGAACAGTAAATTTGCACTTTATATTCTATCTTTGTGTAAAATATATCTATTAGTTATGTAGACAAGTTAACAGCTGTTGAAATATTCAGACTTCATTGTTGATGGTGGAGCCGATCTACCAGAAGAAGATGATGGGAGAAGGATGCGGAATAGGCGAATGCTGCCACATCACCAAGAAGATCATGAAGATCTTGAAGCTGTGGCCAGAAGCATCCAGGAACGTTATGGAAGGCGCCTAAAGGATTATGATGAAGAAACAACAGATGTAGAACAACAAGCTCTTTTGCCGTCTGTGAGAGATCCGAAGCTTTGGATGGTGAAATGTGCAGTATGTCCATAACTTTTTTTTGTGCAAATGTCCCTTTCTCTTGCAACATTATTGGAGCATGTCATGTATTCTTTGTTTTCGCATTAGATTGGACGCGAAAGGGAAACAGCCGTTTGCCTCATGCAAAAGTACATAGATAGAGGATCTGAATTGCAAATAAGATCAGCTTTTGCTCTTGATCATCTCAAAAACTTTATATACGTGGAAGCAGATAAAGAAGCCCATGTCAGAGAGGTAATGTCATGCAAAACGTCTGGTTCATAAATAGCCATGTCTGTATAGATTAAATTGTGTTTTGTAATTATTATGTATATGCTTCCAGGCTTGCAAAGGTCTACTCAATATATTTGGCCAAAAAATAACTCTTGTCCCAATCAGAGAAATGACTGATGTTCTGTCAGTTGAAAGCAAAGCAATTGATCTTGCTAGAGATACTTGGGTTAGAATGAAGATCGGGACATATAAAGGGGACCTTGCCAAAGTATGTATCACATTTTAG